TCGCACGTGATCTCCCGGCTAACAGGGCGCACAGCACACTTCACGTCTGACACTGACTCGGAGCGACAGTGATGAGCGGCACATGCCTTCGTCCCGGGTCACCTCCCCGCATCTCATCACCCGACCACACCCGGTCCCCGGGCAAGTGACCCCTGGCACACGACGCCCCCCCCCCCACCTCTGCACGTGTGGCCTCAGCCCCTGCTTGTCAGCCGTGGGTGTCGAGGTGCCATCCTGGGTCTGACCGTCACGGGCTCGAGGGGAACGCCAGGGCCTGCACCAGGTCGCACCAGCAAAGTCACCGCTTATGCACTAGGGAGAGGGGACCACTGCACTCTTCCGGGCTCTTCTATGCGTTACAAAGCACAGGACGTCGTGCACAGGACATCGGGCCCGGGACCACGTCAGGGCCGCTGGGGAAGGGAGCCACAGCCCCGCCCCCATGGCAGGCCTTTCAGGGGCAGGGGATGGGGTGGGGGGGACTCCAAGCACCGGGTTTGTCACCGGAGGCACAGCGGGAGGGAGCGCTCGCACCTCGCATCACTGAGCCGTGTTGATTGCCAGGCGCGCGGGGACACGCGGGCAGCGTTTCCGCCTCCCGCCTCCGCGTGTACATGGCGTGGGCGCGCCTCGGGCACACACACCTACGCCCACAGCGACTACCTGCTCAACACACAAGTGTGCAAGTCGATCTCCTCCTGACCTGGGGATGGGCGCGGGAGCCGCCGGCGGGGCAGCGCGGACACGCCAGGGCCCGTCCAGCTGGACCGGCTAGAACGGGGGTGACTTACCTGCAAGAAAACGTCACAGTCATTAAACAGTCCGGGCCCGGGCCGGGGGGGGCCTGAGAGCAAGTGCGCACGGCCCTGACTGCTGGGGGGACGAGGACCCCAGTGTGTGGAAGACATACCCCACCCCCGCCCGCCCCGTCTCCTGCAGGGAGAACAGCACGAGGTTAGAGCAGGCGGCAGCCAGGCGGCAGGTGGGGGCAGCGCGGCGGGAGGTGACGGCCTGCGGAAGCGAGCTTTGTGCACAGCCGCGGGACACGGGAGGGGGGACCCGGCTCAGCGGCTGGTGTGGCGAGTGCAGGCGATGGGGGCAGCGATGGGGCCACACGCCCCTGGCCCACGGGGTGGCTGCGCCCACGGGGTCTTCACGTCCCCGGGAGAGGGTGTCTGTCCTGACCACACTTAGCATTCTCATCCTCCCGCGAACCCCAAGTCCTGCCAAGGAGGGAAGTGTGTGAGTGTGTGAGTGTGCATGTGAGTGAGTGAGCGAGCTGGTATGAGTGTGTGTGAACACGTGTGAGTGTGTGCCAGTGTATGTGTGCATGTCAATATGTTGTGCATGTATGTGTGTGCACCTGTGCGTGCAAGTATGTGCATGCATGTGTCCATGTGCAAATATATGCACACACATGTGTGCACTCGTGCACGTGTTCACATGCATGCATGTGTGTGCACTTGTGGTCACACATGTGCGTGTATGTGGGCTGAACCAACAAGCTCTGCTGCTCCCTGGCTTGGTCCCGGGCAGTAGCTCCCATGGGATGGAGGGGAACGTGGACAGGACGACAGAGGAAGGCAGCCAGACCCCTTCGGAGGCCCTGTTGACTCAGACAGTAGCTTTTGGAGCCAAAACTCTGCGGCGAAAGGGACGGAACATAAACAAGGCTACATGTCACCCGGTTGCCGACTCAGACACCGTCCATTTGTTTGTTCTGAAACGGGGAGCAGACTGTTTGGCAAATACAGCGGGTTCACACCACAGCCCTGTCACCCTCAGGGCGAGCGCCCTCAGGCCCAGGCATCCCGGGTCCATGCAAAGGAGGAAGAAGGGGGGTGGGGGCCGGGAGGGGGACCCAGGGAGGGGCCTGCCCTGCAGAGGCTGTCCGGGCGCCCACCCTCTGCACACTGAGCACTGGGCTCAGGAGGGGGCGGGGAGCACCTGCCCAGGGCTGCTGGTTTCTGGGGGCGCCCGGCCAGCGCCTACGCTTCCTCCCGCCAGAGCCTGGCAGCCAGCAGGCAGCGCAGGGGATGGCAGTGAACTCACGGGATCGCCCTTGGCCTTCAGGACAAGCCACAGGGTCCCCTATGACGGGGATCCAGCACCAGGCCCTGGACCACACGGGGAGCGGGCGCCCCATCTGGGAGCCACGAGGTCCACACAGAGAGGGAGGGGGAGGGGGAGCTCCACCACCCGCTGGGCAAGCCAGTCCCCAGGAGCTTGGGCTCAGCAAGAGCGGGGCGGGGGGGAGGGTGGGGGCGTGGGCCTGGAACACAGCACGGGCGCCGAGACCGGGCCCTGCAGCCGCCACCCCGGCTCCCACCGCACAGCGGGAGGCCCCTGGCCGTCCGGTTCCCGACAGAATGGGCAGGAGGGGAGGGACATGGGAGAACTTGGTTCCCGGGCCAACATCGGTGAGGCCCACGGGTGTCAAACGTTCAACTACTGTGTGTGCTCCCTGCGACGGGAGCAGAGTGGGCAACGCCCTGCCTGCCCCCACTGCCCACGGGAGCCCAGCGGAGATCGGATCTGCGTTTCCTGCCAGACACGCAGAGGGAGGCACGGGCCTGGCCCTCCGGGGCATGGGGGCACCAAGCAGCCGGCAGGTATGGGAGGGGCTGAGCACAGGGCCAGGCCCATCCCCAGCAAGAGGGCAGGTCTCCACCTGGCCCGGGGCCCACCTGGGCCAGAGCAGGGCTGGGCCGCTTCCCAGCGGGAGGGAGGGGGGCTCGGAAGGAACAGGCCAAAGGAACCTCTGCACTGGACCCCCAGAAACCAGGGAGGTTCCTCCGGCCTCTCCCCTGAGTGCAGGCAGAGCAGGGGGGCCGGCCTCACCTGGGGAAGCCCCATGTGTACAAGGAGCACCAGAGTCAGGGCTGAAGGTACTTCCTCCCTCCTCCCTCCCTCCCCCCTCCCCCCTCCCTCCTCCCTCCTTTCTCCTTCCTTCTTCCCTCCTTTTTTCCTCCTTCCTTCCCCCCTTCTTCCTCCTTCCTCTTCCTTCCTCCTCTTACCTCCTTCCTCCCTCTCTCCCTCCCGTCCTCCTCTTTCTGCAGGTGAATTCAGTCACAGAAACCCATTCACCCACTGGCCTTGGCTCCCCTCTTGGAGAGAAACTATAACTCTGGACCCAGGTGCTGCTGCCCAAGGGCCAAAGGGGTGACCAGGCAAAGGTTGTCACATTCCCAGGAACTGCAGGGGCGTGGGGAGCTGCTGTGTGGGGGCGGGTGGGGGGGGGGAGCAGTGCCTGGGAGCTCAGCTCAGAGGGAAAGGGCTCAGGAGACTGAGCGGGCACCAGGCCTTCCCACCCTCTGCTCCCAGGCCCAGCTTCCTCCAGCAGGGACAGGAGGAGGGGAAATTAATGGGGTAATATGAGCTCATTTCAATAATAAAGAGCTCGTGAACGCGCCCCTTTTGATCTTTTCTGATGCCTGGATTCCTGGCAGGAACCAGGGTCCTACTCAGGGATCTGAAAGCGCTGAAAATAGACTTTAAACAACATCCCCAAACAAGGGCCAAAAAGGAAGCCGCCCATCACACACACGTAGAACAACAGCGAAAGAAAGACTCGCGCGTCTGTCCGTGCCTTCCTCCCCAGGAGAAACGGGGGATTGGACTGGCACACAACCCTCTTCTGCGCCTTTTAAATATGGTTTTAACAGCTTCCAAGGGAAGGGGGTGCGTGTGGCTAAAAATAGAACCGGGGGCCGGGGTGGGGCCTGCGAACCACTCAGCATAAGGGCCTGTCAATATTTTGGGGGGCTGTCAGGAAGCCATTAGTGGTTTTTGAGAATTCAAAAAATATCTCTGACTGCCTGGTCCATTTGCTCGTGAATCAGGAAGGAGAGGGAATATATATAAATTTCAAGTATGAACCAAGTCCAGCTGCCTGAATCCCGTGTGTGTGCAAGGAACTTGAGATTCAGAGGCTACAAAATTCGCCCTCCCTCCTCCCTTCCTCCCTCCCTTCCTCCCTCCTCTCTCCTTCCTTATTCTTTTCCTCCCTCCTTCCCTTCCTTCCTCCCTTCCTCCCTCCTTCCCTCCTTCCCTTTTTCAACAAGTGAAGTGAGTCACAGAAACCTGTTCTTAGACTAAGGATGGAAGGCACCCCTGCCATTCGTCTCTGGGGAGGGTGTTTGGGGCTGAGCGTCTGTTCTGAGAGGCCTCCCAGCAAGACCATGTGAGCCCCACGAGAAGGCCTGGGCCACCTTCACGTGGAGACACGCATGACTGTCCATGTAGCCCTCCCGCCCGCCTCCATCCCCCAGAGCCCACGCGGGGACTCGTTCTAAGCTCGGGAACCCCCGGGGGAGCCGTGTTCTCCCAGGAGGTGAAGAGGCGCCGACGTGCTAAGCAGAGCAGACAAGCGTGGGCCCGAGACACGCGGGGTCGCAACACAGTGACGGGCTGCACATTTCTCGCTGGAACAACAGATGGACAGGCGAAGAGACAGACGGACAGAAGGCAGCAGCGGGACAGAAGGCCCAGGGCACAGTCGCTGCCGCTAAAGGTGAGTCGCAAACGCCCCGCCCCCCCACCCCCTCTGGAGACAGGGTCCCTGGGTCCCCGCCACGGGGTCAGCGTGACGGTCTCAGAGCCTTGCGTGGACGTGAGGAGAGCGGGTTTGGCTGAGCACAGCGGGGGCACCGTCTTAGGCACCGTCAGCGTCAGTTAACAGCACACAGAGTTTGCAAGCTACCAGGTCTCTTCCCTTTACGGCCCCTTCCCCTCCGGGGATTAGACAGGGGTCCTTCCCCCGGGGGGCCCACCCCCTGCCCAGGGCCCCGCCCGGGAACGGGAGCCCAGGCCTGTGGGCTGGGCCACATGCACGGGGCAGACGCTCATGACTGTCCATGCGGCGCCTCCAGCATCAGGGGCCCCTCTGAGGTTCAGTTCAAAGCCCGAGAGTCAACAAGTCTCCCCCGTCCGTGCTGACAGAGCGCACACTCGGCCCGACGTGCTGGGGAAGGACCCCGGGAGGAGGTTCTAGAACTTACCGCACACGTCCGGCCTCTTGACGCATCCCGCGCCGGCCGCGCCCCCGGCAAGTCCGTTGAAGGCGGCCAGGCCCTCGGCGCTGTAGGCCCTGAGGACCGACAGCATGTTCACCGGCTTCTCCAGGCCCGGGGGCCCGCGCTCCGGCCGGGCCAGGCCCGCGGCGGGGTCCTGGGCTGGGAGGAGGCCCGGGCTGTGCCACGGCTTCTCTGACGGCGGGGGCAGGGGGGACGCCAGTCCCTGGACGGGCTGCGGGGCGCCCGTGGGCAGCAGGCTGTCCCCGCCGTCGCCGCCACTGTCCTTGCTGAGGGCCGCGGGCGGCTTCCTCACCACCTCGGGCTCCGTGTCCATCTCCTCGTCCTCATCGTCCCCCTTGGCGGAGTCCATGTCGTCGGAGGAGGCGACGTCGGACAGGCCGTCGGGCATGTTCTTGTCCCCGGTGTCGGGGATCACGATCGGGGCGTCGTCCTCGGAGGGGGCCTGGCCCTCAGGCCCCTTGTTGGGGCAGGAGCTGGCGGCCCCCGCGCTCACCGTGCCGGGGTAGACGCCGAACTGCTTGTAGAAGTCGGACGGGAAGTGGCAGAACGCGGGGTCCACGTGGCCGGGCCATGGGCCGCTCTTCGGCTCCCCCAGCGTCTCCGCGGCCGGTCCTGGGGCCGTCTTCTCAGAGGCAGAGTCCAGAGGCCCCATCAGGGCGGCCAGGGCCCCATCCTTGCTGGACGGTACGGAGGGCAGCAGGGCCGCCTTGCTGGCCTCCCGCGCCTGCTCTTTGCCGGGCACGGCCACCCCCACGGCAGGGTCCCTGCGCTTGGCTCTGCCCAGGTGGTTGGCCTGCAAGTGTAGGGCCATGAGCTCCACGGAGGACGTGGTGAACGCGCAGAACAAGCAGCCGTGCCAGGCCACGCTGTCCCGCATCGTCACCTGGGAGCCGGGCAGGGCGGGGGCGTCGGGCCGCACCGACAGATCCAGGGGCTCGTACTGCGACTTCTCCGACTTCCTGGAGGGCGCCTTCCCGCCGCCTCTGTCCTCGCCGTCCGCCCCGTGGACTTTGGCAGAGGGAGGGTCCAGCGGGGCCTTGTCCTTGGTGCCCTTCTCCCTCCTCAGGGAGCTGAGGACGAAGCTGTCCATGAACGCCTGCAGGGACCCCTGGAAGCTCACGCCATTGCCCGCCAGGCTCTGGTAGGCTCTTCCGACTTCGGAGAAGTGGGCGCTTTTGGAGGGAAGGTCGGCACCTTTCAGAGCGTCTGACGGAGGCTCCGAGGAAGACAGGCCGCCGGCCTGGCCGGGGTGGTCCCCCGACGACAGCGCTCCGGCCGGCCACTGCTGGGCGGCGGGCCCCCCTCGGAAGTCCATCCCGGGGAGGCCCTTGAAGGCGCCCCTCAGGATGTCGGGCCTGAGGAACAGCGCGGCTTTGCCCGACGGCTCGTCCCGGGGGTCTTGGCTGGCGGGCTGGCCGGACAGGGGCCCCGCCCCGTTCTGTCGCTCCCGGTGATGCCGCTCCAGGTGGTACTTCAAGGACGCGGACTGGGTGCCGGCATAGTCGCAGTGCGGACACTTGTAGGGCTTCTCACCTGCAGGGTGTGGGCACGGGGGAGACAGAGAGAGAGAGAGAGAGAGAGAGAGGAGAGGAGTTTATCTCACTTTGCTGCCGCGAGGCTAGAAGGAGCAACGTTTGTTCTTGGACACAAAGCAGCGCCAACTAATAATTAGTCGGAGAACAACTGCTCGTTAATAGAAGAATAATTCGTGCTTTTCAGCCTTTTTAACGACTTCGTACCATTTGGGACTACTCAGGAATGACATACTATCCACACACAATTAGCTATCTCTTTCTTCATCTAACGTGTGCGAACGGCTATAGATTTAAAAGCTATGATTATGAAAATTAAGCATAATAATTCCAACCACTGCGATCATTAAAAGTAGAAGTTTAGGAAGACGGCGTACGTAACAAATGGCCGGGTGCAGCATTTTGTGTATACAAGGGCCCTGAAATTTGTTTAAATTATACACATGGAAACCATTTTTAAACCTAAAAATTTTATGGCCCTGTTACGCAAGACTGAAATGAATGATTTAAGTCTCGCTCCGCAGTAAATCATGGATATAATTAGCAAATGGCACACAGCGCGGGCCATTCATCATTATCGGGAGGGCACCCTTCCAGGGCGCGGGTAGCGGCAGACCCACGGCATTGTTTCCAAATAAAGATCCATAAATACCGATTCCCTAAAATATTAATGCCGTTACAGTGCATTACGGCGGCGGCACGTAAAGACGTAGAGTTAAGATAAAAAGCAGTCAATAAACCTTAAAAGAAAACGAGTAATAAAAAGGGGCAAAATATATTTAGCTTCTGTATTTGAAATTAACATTATCTACTGGTCTTCGCAGGGCCTTAAATTTGTTCTAATGGTGAACCTAACGCAGCGGCAGTAAAATGCGTAATTTACCTGTAATAAGCGCTTTCGAGAGAATAAAAATCGCGTTAAGGGGCGTTTTAAAACATATAAGGCCATTTTCACGAATTAAATATTTATTTCAATTCAACACCCAACTTCTATTGTTCCTGCCTCCACGGAAGAGGCCGGGCACGTGGGACCTGGACCCGGTGCGCTGTGGGCCCGAGGGGACAGGAGGCGACGCACACGCGGGTGTAAACGCAGCCCAGGGCTCCTGAGCGCGCCCAGGTCTCTCCCAGACTCGGGGATGGATGGGCGCTCTGCAGGGAAGGTGGTGTGACCATCCTGTGAGCTGCTCCCGCAGGGACCCCATCCACGCCCACACGATCTCTCTGAGGGACTCGGTGCACGAGGCCACTGGTGCCTGCTGGGCTGGGCCGATGCCAACCCCCGTCCTCCAGGCGTGGGCTTTAGGGTGACACAGCTGCTGAGGGGAGGACTTGGCAGCCAAGAGGACCGGCCGCCCGGTTCCGGGCAGGGGGCTCCCCGTCACCCCCAGACCCAGTGCCGGCCTGGTCCGCGCGCTGCCATGTGTCCCCCGCTCAGCGGCTGCGGGGCTCCCGGGCAGCTCGAGACGCCTGTGGGTCTAGGAGGGTATCCGCGTGGGAAGGTCCTGGGGCTCTGGCTGGAACCGGCCGAGGACCGGGAGGACGACGCACCCTCTGACGCTTTGGCGCCGCCTCCACTTCCCGCCTCAGTCCCGTGGGGGCCCAGGCTCACCAAAAAGGTGCAGAGTCATTCACACACATGGAGTGACCGGTGAATGAGCACGTCCGGTCTCCCAAGTTGGACGGGGAGCTGAATGAAGAACCAGAGATGAGGCCTTTATCCTCACGGCCTTCGTGAGGATATGTCATAGAGGAGACATGTCATAGGCTCATGCATGCAAGCGATATTCACACCCTCATGCACAAACATCATACACCACACACACTCCGTACATCACACACACATGCATATGCACACACAAAACATACATCACGCACATCATATAACACACACACGAACACACATCACATTATACAACACACGCACATCATATAACACACATCGTGTAACACAGAGACACACACGTGCGCACACACACACCTCTTCCATTTGGCCAACGGACAAATGCGAGCCCACCTGTGCTGAGAGCTGCTGCCCAGTCCGCGCCACCCACCTGGCCACTCGCTTCAGCCTGACACGGGGCTGGTGCCAACGCCTCGGGCGTCTGCCCAGGAGCAAGCCAGTGGCCGCCCAGTCCCTCCCCCGCCCAGCAGGCTCTGCCCGAGACTTGGAAAGGTGTTCCCTGTGCAGCCTCGTGGCACCGGCCGCCCAGACCCGGCCAGCAGCGCCATCCAGCTGATGACTGGCCACTTAGGACTTAAATGAGTCCAAACCCACTGGGGGGACCGCTCAGGCTACCCTGAGCTTCTCGGGGCGTCTGGGACCGTGCTGTCTGGGATGCTGTCTCTGCATCCACCTGGTGTGGGAGCCCCCCACTCAGGGGGGCCTTCCCAGCCAGGCTCACCTCGGGTTGCGGGAAACAGCGGGCAGACCCCACGCCTCTCCCGCAGGGCGGCCGTCACTCAAGTCCAACCAGCCGTGGACACGGCGACCGCCAACGCTCTAGGCAAAGCCACACCCGTTTCCTATGTGCAGCGCCCTGGTTTTCAATGCTGGCACCTGCTTACACACGTCCCCCAACGTGAGGGGCCACGGAGCCTCCTCCACAGGCTGGCCCGGCCCCGGCGGCTCTTACACAGCCTGCGCCTGGGGAAGGGGGCCAGTGCCGAGCCAGTGCCTCCCCATCGAAGCCGGTCAGGGCACCGGTGGCCTTCCCCGGGGAAACCTCTCCAGCCTTTCACGGGGTGAGAGTGGGCCCAGACGCCGCCTTTCTAGGAAAGAGAGTCGGCATAGCAGAAAGCCGTCGGCAGCTCCTCGCCTCAATGCACTGACGCAGGGGTGGGGAACGTCCGGCCCGCGGGCTGTGGGAGGCCCTCGGAATCGTGGGGCCGGCCCTGCCAAGGCCTGGGGGGTGAGCTCACTCGGTGTTTGACCAAACGGAGCAGGGGGATGTTTACGCTGATAACCCCATGTGCCTTGTGACTGATGTTGTAAATGTGCAAACGGCCCTGGACAGAAACAAGGTCCCCACCCCTGGTGATGGTGCGGGTGCGTGATGTGGGATCGTGCACCTGAAACCTGCGTACTGCTGTTAGCCAGGGTCACCCCCACAACTTCCATAAAACGGGAAAGAAATCACTGGAACCATGGTACAGTGAAACCAGCTCCTGCTGCCGTGGCGACGAGCTGCACACTCCACTTTGGGGGAGCATCAGTACGTCCTCAGGCAACTGCAGAAGAAACTACAGAAATATGGGGTGCCCCCCCCCAATGTAGCCGCGCACTTAGAATCATTGTAAAGGCAGTGTTCATCCAAATACATTTCATTTCCAAGACGGAGCCAGCAGTTGTTGAAGTCTGCGTACATTCTGGGGGGACGCCCTGTCTATGGCCACCTGGTTCCATTCGTTCATCCCACCTATTTTCTTTATCTTTTTAAATATATTTTTATTGATTTCAGAGAGGAAAGGAGAGGAGGAGAGATAGAAACATCAACGAGGAGAGAGAATATTGGATCAGCTGCCTCCTGCACGCCCCACACTGGGGATGGAGCCCACAGACAGCCCCGGGCATGTGCCCTTGACCGAAATCGAACTGTGACCTCCTGGTTCCTAGGTGGACGTTCAGCCGCGGAGCCACGCTGGCGGGGCCACCGAACCTATTTTCGCACGGCCATAGCTTTCATCGTTCTGAGCCTCCACGTTGCACTGGATAAGCCAGAGGAGCAAGTTCCCAAAATCACAAGTGGGTCCTTATGGGTCTCCGCGGACACCCCTTTCTCAGGCCTTTAAGAAGGGCCTCGCGCCTCCGCCTCCGACGTGTCCTTGCTGTTTCTTGTTCGTTTCGCCAGCTCTCGCGAAGGGCTTTGGGTTTGACGTGGAGGTGCGGACGGTCGGTTCCCGCGTCGGCGGCAGGGTCTCCTCGCTATTTACTCAGCCTTCCTCCCCGTCTTTACTCGGTTCACACCGGGAGAGACAAATGCGGCGGCGCCTTCCGGGGCAGCTCCAGTCCATAAATATAAATCGTGCGCTAATTCCCCCGCAGCTTCTCCACGCTGTAAACCTGGAGACTTCGCACACAGCTGCCGCGCGCTAAACAGTGGCTTGTCCAGAAGGGGACAATCTGTGTCTCTAATTGCTGTCGCTGGAGCCGAGATTCATTAGGCAACTTCCCCATTACACGTGAGCATTAATTTGTCTGATGAAATATCGCCGCTGCCGCGTTCATTAGCCGCGCCCGCGGTACACGCGCCGGCTCCCGCCTCGGACCCGCGGCGAGTTCCGCTGATGGCTGCTTCCCCGCCTGGTGTTTGCTGGGAAAGTCCCCCACCCCCGCCGCCGCCACGTGACCCTGCCGCTCTGAGGAAGTTTAAATCCAGCCAATTATTTTCCCACAAAAGTTTGGGATGCCCTGAAGGCAGGGAGAGAAGACGGGGGCGGGGGGCTGTGGGGGAGAGAACGGCCCTCCGTTCCGCGTGGGGACCTACGGACGCCAGGAAATTTTAACTCAGGACAAAAGGGAACAAAAGAATCCTCTCCTTTGGGGCAAGTGGGCATTTTTTTCCCTTTTTTTCATAATCACGCAGGTGGCGGGGCCCCCTAAGCCCGACACACGCTCTCTCCCTCTGGAGATCGACTCTCATCAGCCCAGGGGGCGTGTCGAACAGGAGAGGAGCGCGGGCTCCCCGGGGTGTACCGCAGAGCCAGTGGGGGGCCTCCCGGACCTGAGGGTCCCTGGGAGCTCCCTCCACGCAGGGAGCCGTGCGGGTGTTGGGGACACAGCCGAGCTGCGGTGCAGCCCCATTCCCCTGCCTAAGGAAGGGGGGGGGGGGGGGGGACGGGCAGTCGCTGACTCAGGGAGGGAGGACGCGGGAGGGATCCCCTCCGCCCACATGTCTTCCCACCCAGGTTCTCACTGGGCCACCTCCCGTCCCACCCGAGGACAGCACGTCGGTGACACCGGGAATGTCTCCTGTGCTCCTGCGGGCGCCGACGGGAGGAGCACGGGGGACACGTGTGTCGTGCCTCACAGACTCCTGTCCTGGGCGACGTCGCCTCCAAACACAGAAGTGGGGAGGGGCCGGGGACACCCTGCTCTGGGCCCTGGGCTCGGTGCAGATGCATCGCTTCGTTTCGATTGGGCGCCTCCTGTCGCCTGCGCGCTCACCCGCCGGCGCCCATCGCGGGTGTGCCGAAGCGCACACGGACCACTGCCTGCTCGGCTCCTGCGCACGCGTGCGAGCGTTCCCCACCTTCTTTGTTCTCTGATAAAAAGGAAATTGATCTTTATCTGGATACAATCCTGCCTTTTACACTCGGCACATGCTGCTGGGGGGGGGGGGCGGTCCGCGGGGGGGCGTTTCCAGGGCGTCTTTCACTTTCTTCCTTCTTCTGGGCGCTTCCCAGAAGGCCTCTGCCCACGGCCCGGTCTCCTCGCGTCTCCAGGACTATGAGTCATACGTTTCAGAAGAAGTTTGTGAGGGGGAAAAACAGAAGTTTGGGAAAACCGTGTTTCTCAAGCGCTTTTGACGTTAAAACGTCAAAAGCAGCATCCACCTGCTTCCGCCCAGGTCCGAAGGCCTCCGGCGGCCTGGCTCCTCTTCCCCGGAATGTTCTGGGAGCATCTCTTACCCGCGGCCAGCGGAGGGGGTCGGGCCCACGGGTCAGCAGGCTCCTGGTGGGGAGGCCCTGACCATTTCTCTCCTGCCCCACAGTCCCTGGGGGCCTGTGCCCCTGTCCTGGCAGGATGGGGGTCCCCACCCACCGCACAGCCTCGGGGACCCAGCTCCTCGAGGAGGAAGGCGCTCCCCGGGTGATGTGGGGAGGCCGGGGTCTGAGCGGGGAACTGTCACCGAGGGTGCAGAGACCTGCAGGCGGGGCCAGGCCCTCCCGTGCTCCTGGGCAGGTCTGCCGTCCGCAACCGGAGTCCCGCACCGCAGCCGGCTGCCACGCGTGGTTCCCGAGACAGTGCGGGGGCTCAGCCCGCCTCTCCCATCTGACCGGGGTCCCCGCAGCCCGTCCTCTCGGTGGGCAGCCCCAAGCCAGGCAGGGGCTGCAGGAGGAGGAGGAGGGTCACTCGGGGACCGCCAGGCGCTGGGCACCCGCTGTGCGGCAGGTGCGCGGGCGGCCCCTGGGGACCAAGAAATCACAGTCACTGGACGGATGAACGCCGTCGCCAGCCTCACGTTCTACAAACAACTGCGCTGCACAGGGTCCTCGCGGGAAGCGAGAGTCCAGGAAGAAAAGGACGCGGGGGCCTGAGGGGTGTTTCGGACAGGGAGTCGGGGCCGGTCTCTCTGAGGTCACAGTGGCCTCCGGGAGGAGATCATTCCAGGCGGAGGGCCTGTGGGCACGGACGTCCTGCAGCGGGAGCCAGGCCCCTGCACTGGAGGGACAGACAGGAGGACGGGGAGGGGTGGGAGGGAGCCGAGGACGGAGCCACGGTGCCCGCTGGGCCAGGTCCCAGGCGCCAGGCCTCGGAGGAGTCGGGCTGTGGTTTCGGAAGCTCCCTCTTAGCCTGGGAGGGTTCCCTGTGAGGGGACGTCCCAGGGGCCACGCTCCACGGCCCCCAGTTCTGCAGGAAGTGCAGGGAGATTTGGGGGCAGCAGGTGAGGGCCCGGGTGAAGGCGCTTGGCGTTCACGGCCGCTGCTCCGAGGCCCGCGCCGCTGAGCATCCTGCCGGGCTCTGAGCTTTATTGATTCCCCGGGAAACAGACCACAATTATTTCTGAAAATGGATGGCATATTTGTCCACCCTCTGGAGCAGCTCAGACTCCGACAGATAAAGCGTCAGGAGAAAAATCAAAGAAAATGGAGGTGTCCATAGCGCGGATAGATTTTTCTTTCCTGTTGGCAACGTCCAAGCAACTCGCAGAAAAGCAGGACGGAGCAGGACGGAGGAGCGAGGGGCGCCCGAGGGAGGCGCTGGCCGGAAGGGGCAGCGGGAGCCGCAAGCGGGAGCCACACCTGTTTAAGAGCCATCGATCCTTGTTCTCAGGAGACCCAGCCTCCCGCCGCCGCTGTCGCCTGTCTGGCCCACCCCAGGTTCGGGCCGGAGCCCCGGTGGGCAACGCCAGGGGAGCTGCGACGTCCCCTTTCATACATAAGAGAGTTTGACCCCAAAAGCTGTTGCTCTCTCCTGTCCCATGGTCCCCGGGGGGCCGAGGCCACCGGGTGAGGCACAGCCACCGGTGAACCCGTCCCAGGGCCCACGTCCACATCTAATGAAAGGACAGGGTCCCGGGACACGGGGCCAGATCTCCCCTCCTGTGACAGCCCCGTGGTGGGCGCCTGGGGAGCTGTCCCCATGTCCTGGCAGCCCGATGACCCCCACACCCACCAGCACAGCCTCGGGGGACCCAGCTACCCCTGGGAGCAAAGTGCACCTCTAGAGCCCTGCCATCCTGCACCCGGAAGGCCGCCGGTCAGACGAGGTTCGGACGGGCCTCGATGCAGCAGAAGGAGGCCACCAGCCAAGTGTCCAGGTCACTCCGGGCCTGGACAGCGACCTGGGGGTCGCTCGGGACGGGGAGGGAGAGTGAAGTCCGGGCCCAGGGCCTCGGGGTCAGTTCCACGCACACAGCAGGGTGTGGACGGGCTTGCGGGGGACCGTGACTGTGAGTGACTCCGGCACCCGTGACCCGGGACGGGGCGGCCCCCCGAGCGCTCACCTGTGTGTATCCTCAGGTGCACCTTCAGGTGGTGCGACGTGCGGAAGGTCTTCCCGCAGTACGGACAGTCCTTCATGGCCGAGCCCAGGCTCCGGTCCCGCAGCAGCGCGGGTGGCTGCACGCCGGCCGCTCTCCCCGCCTCCTCGCCGAGGTCTGCAGCGGGGGAAACGTTGGCACGTCACTTCAGCGCCCGTCAAAAGTTGTTCGCACCCAAACTGCTCGCGCCACACAAAGTCAAACATGTCGATACCACACCTGTCTGTCTCGTTCTTTCAATCTGACAGAATGCTGACAATTCATGTATTTCCTTGTTATTCTCCAAAATTATTTCATCTTTCCTATCATCGTCTTAAGCAGCATATGGTACCTTTATATCGAACTGAATTAAACAAGAACAGAAACAGCTGTGTCAGCAGCTGGTCGGATTTCTCCTCTTGCTTAGCTCCTATTAAATATAGTTTTCCCCCCAAAAGTTTAGAAATGGCGGTGTCTGGTTGGATCTGATGAATTTATAAGAGGGACGCGCGGCAGAGCCTGCCACGGGACTGAGGCCGCACTGGCCTCGTATGAAGCGACAAATGAAATGTGGGAAGCGTGTCTGCCGAGTCCCAAAGGCGTGCAGGCCAGGGCTACGCAGGGGACGGGAGGAAACGATCCCAGAAGGTCCTCTCGCCCTTGCAGGCTCCCGCCTGTGGCTGCTGTGACCTCGCGGGAGGGACAAGGAAAAGTCTGGAAACGCAGTTCCGCGATCCGCCCGCGATGCACGCAGACGCATCCACAGGCACGTGCAGGCCTGGCTGGAACTCCGTCACCGTGGAGCACGGAGCCCGAGAACCCGCCTGCAACGCATCGGCACCACGTCCCTCCGCTGCCGTTCACTGTGGAGCCCAACCCGCTAGAAGACGGAGTGAAATACACGCCCGGCCCCTTCTGCGCGGAAAGGATGGGGCACAGGGGACATGAGACGGTGGGAACGTCGGGCATCTGGGGGACGCGGCGGGGCGGGAGCTGGGAGCTGTGTTGGAGGAGAACTGGGGGGCTGCGCGGACCCCCTCACAGACCCCGAGGCCCTCAGGCTCCGAGGCTGGCGGGGTCCTCGCTGGCTCAGCCTCCTCCCACCTCGGGGCCTCACCTGGACCCCCTGTGAGAACAAGGGGACCCTCTGGGGTGACGACAGGCCTGGGCTCTGTGAGAGCGGCACACATGAGACCGGCTCCACGCGAGCGATGGAAACGCGAATCGCTTCCCTCCGCAGCGCCACGCGGCGGGGCTTCCGCGGACCCACAGGCCGTGGCGGACGCAGGCGGGCGCCCTGGCTCTGAGTCGGACGCGTGGTCAAGGCTCCGTGGAGACGCTCCGGCTCGGAGCCCCGTTTCTGCGCTCAGACTGCCCGCGACGAGTCACCCCGAAAGTCCTCCGAGGGCTCAAGCCCTCCCTGCGCTCCCGACCCCCCTACCCGCCGGGGAGCTGTTCTCAGGGCCTGGTGGTCCGGCACCCTTTTCCTGATGATCCGCCACACGTGCAACTCGCCCCGCCCAGCACCAGGTGTGGGGTCGTCCACACGCACGTGCAAAGGCTACCGACGATGGCCACGGACGAGGGCACACGGGCACCAGAGCGTGAGCGGTGCCACGGCTAACCCGTGCCAGGGGCCACCTCTGTCCTACGGCGCCCGTGTCCAAGAGCCCAGGAGAACGATGGCCAGACGTCCGACCAAGTCACCCCGCTGGGTTTAAACAGCTGCAATGCCCGCTCCTGCCGCCCGCCCGCCCGCCAGCCCCAACCCTCAGCACCGGCACTGGCCTCCCAGCCTCGCTCGGCCTCAGACGCGCTGGGACCGTGAGGTCAGCGCAAACCACCAGTGAGACGCCCGGCCGGGCTGGGCCACCCGAGGGCCCTGCTTCCGCCAGGCGGCCGGCAGCTCTCAGCTCGAATCACCAGCAGCACTAGGTGCCGGGAGGCTGTGGGCTTCTCACCTCCTTCGTCCTCACCTAGGATATGCCTCCCATTGCTTTTCAGAGAGAGTGGGAAGGAGGGGAGCAGGGAGGGAGGGGAGAGAGAGGGAGACACATCCGTGGGAGAGACACGTGGACGGGCTGCCTCCCGCACCAGCCCCGACTGGGGCCCAGATCAAACCTGCAAGCCAGGTGCATGCCCCCGACCGGGAACAGGAGCCTGGGCCCTTTTCTTTTAAAAAATATTTTCATTGATTTCAGAGAGGAAGGGAGAGGGAGAGAGAGAGAGAGAGAGAAAGAGAGAGAGAGAGAAACATCAATGATGAGGGAGAATCATGGATCGGCTGCCTCCTGCACGCCCCCCACTGGGGATGGAGCCCATAACCCGGGCACATGCCCTGACTAGGAATCGAACCGTGACCTGGAGGTTCATAGGTCAGTGCTCAACCACGGAGCCAGGCCCGCGGGGCAGGCGTGGACGTTTGCCGCCCTGTTCCTGCGGGTCCTCGTGTTCCGTGATCTGCACGTGGGCACAGCCCCCAAGTCTCCCTCCAACAAGCCCTTAGTGACACGGCAGCGGGGCCGTCGGACAGTCAGGCAGAAAGGAGGGGACTGGACGGAGCAGAGCCGAGCGGCGGGGGACGGTCCACGGCGGCTCCGGCTGCCCCTGCCCGGGCACCTCAGCGATGAGCACAGATAAGGCCGCAGCCTGGAGCGTTCGTGTGTGTGTGTGGGGGGGGGGGGGGGGAGCAGGGAGTGGGCGCCTGACTGTCGTCACGCGGAGCGATGGCCTGGCTCAGCTGCCTTTCATCTCTCCGTCGTGGACATGTGTGGCCCAATAAAGAGAATACATTTCTAAGATAAACAGCTTTCTTTGCAGATTTAAGAATCTAATTTTCACTTTACACAGAAATGGAATTTTTTTTTTTTGGAGGGCCAGAAGGCCCGTGGCGTTTACTCTGAGACTAAATCCAAGTGGAAAAACAAACTCTGAGCAACGATGAAGGGGACGGTGGGTGGTCCCGGGAAGTGTCCGGAGGGGCCGCGAGCCAAGCGCAGGGACAGGATGGCTGAGGACGCTCGGCTGGGCCTTGTGCGGGGACCTCGAGCCCCCGGGGTTCGCTCAGAGGCCGACACCTGAAGCCTCGTCCCCCGTCTGAAGGCGCTGACGGCTGTCCTTCCCCAGGACACCGGGTGGAGGCCTGAGGCTCGGCCTGCCGCCCCTGTGAGCCCCCCCCCCCGCCCCCCCCCCAGCCAGGAAGCAATCCGGGTCCTGGTTACAGACAGTCCGATGGCCCCGCCCCCCAGGGAGCGGGCGGTGGAAAGGAGGGAGCACTTTACATATCACAGCTGCAGTCCTCGGTCAGACCTTGTGGGGGGCAAGCCTTCCGAGAACTGTCCTCCACAATCTATTTCTTCCTCCAGGCAGATGCGTTCCCTAGGTTTTCCAGGGACGGAAGGAGGACGTGTGGATGGAGGTCAGCCTCAGACCTGTCACCTGCTCCTCCGTGCTCGTCTGGACCTGGAGTGATCCTGGGACCGCCTGGCTGCGGCTGGAGGCCGCCTCCTTCTCCTGGCCTCCCTGGATGGGGAAATGGCTGGGGAAGACCCCTGGGACCGTGCACGCCCCGCACTGGGGATGGAGCCCACCACTGGGCATGTGCTCTGACCAAGAATCGAACCAGTGACAACCTGGCTCATAGGTCGATGCTCAAACCCTGAGCCACGCCAGCCGGGCTGGGACCCTGATTCATTTCTCAACCCCACGAAGCAATATGGGATCCGGTCCTCAGAAATGGAGTCGGGTATGGGCGCAACCATCATACTCCAGAGGGAACGGGCTGCAGGGGTCTCCCTTCCCGGGTCCCAGCCTAGAGCAGGTGAATGGTGACAGGTGAGCTGTACCAGGTACCAGAAACCCCGCACGCTCTCCCCTGCTCCCACAGGCTGGGAGTGTTTGCTGAAAAAGAGCAGAGAGGCCCAGTGTCCAGGTTACCCGGCCAATTCAGAGTGACTCGGAGAACAGAGCCAGAGAGCAAACAGCGGAACAAAGAGAGGCTTCAAGCCCCTTTGCATCGGGCCTGTCTTCTCAGTTCTCCCTTCCTCCTTACCCGCCCCGGGCCCAGAAGTGCAACTTGGAAACATTTCCTTTCAAAACAATTATAAGGAGGGTGTTGGTGGTATTGACGATGATGATGGTGTTGATGGTGATGGTGATGACGATAATAATGGTGATGGTGATGGTGGTGGTGGTGATGGTTATAATGATGGTGATGATGGTGATGGTGGTGATGGTGGTGGTGGTGATGGTGGTGGTGATGGTGGTGGTGATGATGGTGATGGTGGTGGTGATGATGGTGGTAATGATGATGGTGGTGATGGTGATGATGGTGATGATGGTGGTAATGATGATGGTGGTGATGGTGATGATGGTGGTGGTGATGGTGGTGGTGATGGTGGTGGTGGTGATGGTGGTGGTGATGATGGTGATGGTGGTGGTGATGATGGTGGTAATGATGATGGTGGTGATGGTGATGGTGGTGGTGGTGATGGTGGTGGTGATGATGGTGGTGGTGATGGTGGTGGTGGTGATGGTGGTGGTGATGATGGTGATGGTGGTGGTGATGATGGTGGTAATGATGATGGTGGTGATGGTGATGATGGTGGTGGTGATGGTGGTGGTGATGATGGTGGTGGTGATGGTGGTGGTGGTGATGGTGGTGGTGATGATGGTGATGGTGGTGGTGATGATGGTGATGGTGGTGGTGGTGATGGTGGTGGTGATGATGGTGGTGGTGATGGTGGTGGTGGTGATGGTGGTGGTGATGATGGTGATGGTGGTGGTGATGATGGTGGTAATGATGATGGTGGTGATGGTGATGATGGTGATAAGTTCATACAGTGACTGGAGAGTTCTCTCAGCAGCCTCACCTGGATAAGGTAGCTGTCTGTATACCTGAGCATTCATTTATCATGTATACCACGAACTAGCCATGGTATTTTAATTTTTATGGAATTTCTAGTATAACAATAAATACATTCTCCTAGATGAGTTGTCAATTTGCAAAGAGCCTTGTGCAAAGAATACCACAGAAGTCTGAATCTCAATTCATTCATGAAAAAACACACACTATTTTTGGAGTCTAAGGGATGAGCAGGACACCAAAAAATTACATCTTTCTTCATTTCTTTGCCCCC